ACTGTAATTGGAGTCGCACGGCCTTAACAGCAGCTGAAAAAAAATGTTGATTTTTTAATATATTTTTTTTAGCCATGGAATTTTCATTTCGGCATTCATTTGGAAGCGTTAAGAAGTTGACCTGCCCTGCCATTTGCTTCTTTTGGCAAAGTCGCGTAGGTAGAAGAAAAAAATAATAACAACAAATCACCACGTTTCGATCGCAGCGCAAGCAATCGTCACCGTCACCACCACCACCACCACCTTATCACACAAATATATATACGAACGTATCAATTTGTTTGCGTTCGAAATTCTGACCTCGTGTTTTGTCAGTTGTGGCGGTGGTAGCGTAGTGGGTTGGTATAGAGGAGGCTAGGCGGGCGCGGCACGGGGCTAGAGAAGAGACGGAGCGACGTGGTACAGGAGGACGCGGGGCTGAGTGGACTTTCCGATGACTGGTACCAGCGGTGTCAAGATCGGCCTCTGTGTAGGAGGCTCGTGGGTTCGATCCCGACCCTGACGACGCCTGCTGCTGCTGCTGCTGTATATTTGGAGTCTGCGTGTCTCTCTCTCTCATCATCATCATCACGGTGGCTAGGAGATGTTGACTACCTCGCCTGGTATACAAGAGGTCGTGGGTTCGATCACGACCCTGACGATGCCTGCTGCTGTATATTTGGAGTCTGCGTGTTTCTCTCTCATCATCATCATCATCACGGTGGCTAGGAGATGTTGACTACCTCGCCTGGTATACAGGAGGTCGTGGGTTCGATCACGACCCTGACGATGCCTGCTGCTGCCGCTGTATATTTGGAGTTCGAATCTTTCTCATCATCATCACGGTGGCTAGGAGATGTTAACTACCTCGCCTGGTATGCAAGGGGCTTCGTGGGTTCGATCCTATCTGGTAAAATTTAAAAAAACCCACTCAGTTTAGTTTTTGGTCTACTCTTCCACAGCCTCCACTGTACGTTGTCGGAAAGTGCCGGGGTTTTTTTTTCCTTCTTCCTTCGCTCTGGAATTCTTTCGTGGAGTAAAAATCGACTGCCCTGGTCCAGGCCCAGGGCGCGGGCATTCTTTATTAATTTTATTATTCAACGCTTTGTTTGTATTTGTAGCTCACAGGACGCGGCGAGACCTGTGGGGGAGGGGGAGGGAGGAGGGGAGAGAGTTTATTTTTGGTTTATATTTGATATTGCCAATGCGATGCACGAGCCGATGTCCCACTCGGATATTAACGCCATGCCGCTGGGCGCATTCCACCGGTCAAGGCTCCGGCCCACAGTCCAGTCCGCGCGACGGGCTACATTCTAATCCACACTCCAATCCGAACTCCGGGACCGCACTCCGATCCAAACTCTGATCCGCACTCCAATCCGAACTCCGATCCACACTCCACTCCGATCCACACTCCAATCCAAACTCCGATCCACAATCCGATCCGCACTCCAATCCGAACTCCGATCCGCACTCCAATCCGAACTCCGATCCACACTCCACTCCGATCCACACTCCAATCCGAACTCCGATACACACTCCAATCCGCACTCCAATCCGCACTCCAATCCGAACTCCGATCCACACTCCAGTCCGAACTCCGATCCGCACTCCAGTGTGTTGGAGTGCCAACCACAACATTTACAATCTGAGTACGACGTTTCGCCAGTAATTAGAACCAGCTTCATCAGGCGAAACGTCGTACTCAGATTGTGAATGTCGTGGCTTTGCTCTCCAGCACACAACCGGTGTGGTGCTGTACCAGTGACGAAATGTGCCACGTTCTGCAGTCTGTAGTGTAGTGTATAGTGTACACTACACTATATACTACACTACTATACACTACACTATATACTACACTACTGTACACTACGCTACTATACACTGCACTATATACTACACTACTGTACACTACGCTACTATACACTACACTATATACTACACTGCTATACACTACGCTACTATACACTACACTATATACTACACTACTGTACACTACGCTACTATACACTATATACTACACTACTATACACTACGCTACTATACATTACACTATATACTACACTACTATACAGTACACTACTATACACTACACTATATACTACACTACTATACAGTACACTATTATACACTACACTATATACTACACTACACTATACACTACACTATACACTACACTATATACTACACTACTGTACACTACACTACTATACACTACACTATATACTATACTACTATACACTACACTACTATACATTACACTATATACTACACTACTATACACTACTATACACTATATACTACACTACTGTACACTACACTATACACTACACTATATACTACACTACTATACACTACACTACTATACTATACACTACACTATATACTACACTACTATACACTACGCTACTATACACTACACTATATACTACACTACTGTACACTACGCTACTATACACTACACTATATACTACACTACTGTACACTACGCTACTATACACTGCACTATATACTACACTAC